ATGCTGAGACATTCTGTGTTTGCGAGTTCTCCTGAGCATGGTGTGGAAGCCCAGTCGTGAGAGCTGAACTTCTGCGGGCTCGGATATTCAGGCGATTGCACAAGTCCTGATGCAAAAAGGGTTTAGGGTTTATAGGGTTTAGGGTTTAGGGTTTAGAAATAGGTTAGGGTTTAGGCTTAGGGTTTAGGCCTAAACCCTACCTGGACCCTAAAGAGCCTACCTGTTTTGGGGTTCCTTAATCTGATTTCTTTATATAAGTCCTTAAAACGGTAGGTTATTCGGGGGTTAGGGTAGACCCCAAAGGTTCCTGCGTAGTGCCCTTTTGGCAATTTTTTTTGGGGGGGGTCTCCTGATCCAAACTGAAAAGTCGGGAAAAGGGTGCCCTAATTTTTGAAGGGTTCCTGAGGAACCTAAAGCCCTAAACTCCACTACGCTCAGGATTGTCAGCATTGCGGCCCTGGCGGCCGCAAATCCGTCGATCTGCTTCCTCCTGGCTTTCCGCCCCCGCAACATCGAGGAGCGTGGCCTCGCTTCCGGTTTAGGGATTACCTTAAGAACCCAAAACCCACTTTTTGTAGGTTCTGGTTATAAACCCTAATATGGGATTTATAGGGACCCTACAAGAAAGTAGGTTTTGGGTTCTTAAGGTAGGGTTTGAACCCAGACTCTGCCGATCAGCAGAGCCTGGGTTCAAAAAAGGGTTTGGGTTTTAGGGACCCCAAAACCTACACCCCAACATCCCAGGAACCTAAAGCCCCAAACGCCCAAACACCCTAAACCCGAAATCCTAAAGACGGAGCAAGCTTGTTTTTGCACTGACCGCGCCTGAGACCTCGCCTGGATTGTCCGAGTCGTGAGAATGTAAATCCTACAGCTAAAGCCCGTAAATCCTAAAGGCCCTAAACCCCAAGCCCGAAAGCCACAAAGCCCCAAAGCCATTAAAGCCCCACACAACTCTTAAACCAACCCTCAAACCAAACTCCTATGCTTAAGGCCCCTTTGTGATAGAACCCTGAAGCTGAAAGTATCCCCTAAACCTCTAAACCCCTAAAGCCTGAATCCCTTTTGGAGCCCTAACGCCCCAAAGCCCCCAAAAAACCCTAAACCCAAAAAACCCTAAACCCAAACAACCCCAAACCCTAAACCCCCAAAAACCCTAAACCCTAAACCCTAAGCCTAAACCCCCAAAAAAGCCCTAAACCCTAAACCCTACACCCTAAACCCTAAACCCCCCAAAAAAGTCCCAGAGAGGATCCCGACTTCTTCCGGGAGCTGTCCGGGCACTTCCGCATCGACCAAGCCGAGGACTTCGGCGGAGAGCTGAGGGCGCTCTGCAGCTTCGGCCTGCTTTTTGGTTGGGGGTAGGGTTTAGGGTTTAGGGTTTAGGGTTTAGGGTTTAGGGTTTAGGGTTTGGGGTTTGGGGTTTGGGGTTTAGGGTTTAGGGTTTAGGGTTTTGAATAAGGGCTTTAGAGGGGTTTAGGGGTTCCTTTAGGGGCTTGTTTGTTTTAAATTAAAGGCTTTGGTTTATAGGGACCTAGGGTTCCTTTAAGGGATGTATGTCAGCTTCGGCGTGTTTTTTAAAATAAGGGCTTTGCTTTATAGGGCCTTAGGGTTCCTTTAAGTGATTTATGCCAGCTTCGGCCTGTTTTTTTAAATGAGGGTGTTGGGTTTAGAGGGCCTTAGGGGTTCGTCAGCTTCGGCTTGTTTGTTTTAAATAAGGGCTTTGGGTTTAGAGGGCCTTAGGGTTCCTTTAAGGGATTTATGTGGGTTCCCTTAGGTTCCCTTAGCTTGTTTTTTAGGGATTTTAGGGTCTAGGTTTATAGGGCTTTAGGGTTCCTTTAAGGGATTTCTGTGGGTTCCTTTAAGGGGGTTCCTTTTACGGGCTGCTTCAGGGCGTTCATAGGTCTTCGATAAGGTTTCGAAGGGCTTATACAACTTATGGGGTTTGAGATTTAGGGTTTATCGATTCTCAATTAAGCTCAAGGGTTTGGGGTTGAGGGTTCAGGGCCATTCTGGAAAAGGGTATAGGGCTCTGCAGCTTCGGTTGCTCTCCAGGGCTTAACAGAGTTCTATAGGGGTTACTAATGTCTTATTAGTATAACTTTCTATTCTTCTTTCGAAGGTACAGGGTTTGTTCGATCCTTTTTGATAGTTCTTATCGGATTCAGTATAGTGGCCTCACCAGCTAGGCAGCTTCGGCTGGCTTTAGGGTTGGAGTTTGGGGTTTAGGATTCAACTGTTTTGATGCAGGGGGCAGTTCAGGTAGTTTGCTTCGCTTGCGCAGGGTTTGCAGGTTTTGGAGTCTCGGACCCTAAACCCTAAACCCTAAACCCTAAACCCTAAACCCTAAACCCTAAAACCCTAAACCGTCGCGATTATCGTGTTTGCGGTTGAGGGTCGTTTTTTGGGGTTTTGGGCCTTAGAGTTTGCGGACCATGCTCGAACCCCAAGGCCTAAACCCCACAGTCCCAAAAGCCCTAAAGCCCTAAGCCCCTAGGACCCTAAGACCTAAAAGCCCCAGGACCCCAGACCCCGAACCCCCAAAAAACCCCTAGATCCCGAATCCCTAAGTGGGTAGTTTTCTAAATTAGGGTCCCTTTTGGGGTCCTTTCTGTAAGGGTGCCGTACTATGTTGGGG